CAGACTTTGTAATATACTTTTTTCTGTTGGGTTGTGGGATGAGTCTTAGGACTATATATGTAATGTACTTATTTTAAATGCAACAATATCCCAAGCATTAATATAACTTTTATAAAGATCATCAACCTTAGAATTTCTATTTAACAGTCAGTGGTTTAAAATGATGAGCATTAAGAATGCTTATTAGCTTCTACCTCAATTATTTGAGACCTTGATCTAAAACCTATGCATGCAGTTGTCTTAATTTCTCTACGGATATCAAATTAATTGTCAGATATAAAGAAATTCCAGAGCATGCTATCAGTCAACCAACTAAGAGAAACCTGACTAGGTTTGTCTAAGTCACTACCAAGTGATCATCAATAAATGTGAAGACTTCAACCATATTATTCCATGGGGATTGAGCAGAGTGATTATGTGAAATATGTGGAGAAAAAGAAAATATAGAAGAAGATTTTATATTCATTATCGATGTCATAAATACTCATGAGGAAAAAAATGTTAAGAGGCCATTAATAAATGAAGTATAAAACTGAAGAAGGAAAGTAAATAGAAGGCTTATATATGAATCTATACTCCCTATTGATGTTAGAGTATTAGCTTTCTTTGACAAGGGCAGGTGATGATGTTTACTTTCCTCAAAAAGCAGAGAGAGAGAAGAAGAAGAAGAAGAAGAAGAAGTTATATCATCACTCAAAGACAAATAAGAAATATTGAGCTCTAATCGCTACATCATGGAAAGAAAACAATACAAGAATTGTGGTGGAGAGGACAAAGTACCTCTTGTTATCTTTTCTGTGAGGAATGTAAAGACATGGGAGAATCCTATGGCAATTAGAGCGACCAGTTACTTGCTCTGCAACAAAAATGGTGAAACCAAACAGTCGTGATAAGACACAGTTGAGAAGACCATACTCCCAAAGGTCAAGTCCTTTCATCCTCCATATCAAGTAAAAGAAGCCAAAACAAAAGATAATGCCCGGCAACACCCCACCCATACGAACGACTCTCAAGCTTAGTAGTAAAATCCAAACAGCAGAAAAGTTTGCTCCAACAATGTTTTCCATATCAAACATTGACCAACCATGTGGATGATGGAACACCTTGCAGCTACTCGTGAGCATCTGCTTACTGCTTTACGACCATAAGGAGAAACAGGTAGATTGAGAAGAGAAGCTCCAAGACGGTGTCCAAAATCCAATACCTGCTGTGGCTGAGATAGATTTCAAGTACATGATGAACTAATTAGCTTTCACTCAAAGGAAAAGGTACACGATGAACTATCAGTTCAAGGCACAGGGCTCTACCACCAATACTCATGCTAGTAGTGGTAACAGTATGCTACCCTTCATGTTAGCAGGAACATATGGTTCGTATTAGCAACTCTACTGAAGGCAATGGCATGCACATCATATGAGGTTGAGAGGTATAGATAATAGTACTTCGGATGGTGGGGATTAGGCAGCTGCAGTGGTGCCGGATGGTGGGCTGTGAGGGTTGTGATGATGTTGCGGAGGCGAAGGCGTCGTCCGTGGTGGCTTCTTGCGCTTCTTGTCGTAGCTGATGCCGCGAGCCTTGGCCTGCAACTCGCGGACCTCACGGAGGTAGAGTCTGACAGCTCGTGCACCGAAGGGGTTCGCTTCGTGCGAGCCACCATTCTCCTCGAATGCGGCACGGAGGCGGCCAGTGAGGGCGTCAAGGGATCCCCACGCCTGGCGGAGGGGGCAAGGGCATGGGGCGGGTGGGTTGGGGAAGCCAAAGAAGGGGCACGCCGTAGTGTGGACCTTGGTCTTGCCGAACTGGTCCAGGTAGCGCAGGAACTCGAGCACGTGGGCGGCGCTGCACCGCGACAGTGATAACGGTGGCTGGTGGTTCTTCAAATACTGGCAGAACGTGTTCCAGTCTCGCCGCTTCTGCGACTCGTACCGGCTCGGCGACGGGGCGGTGGCAGCGGGGAAGGAGTTGGGGCCAGCGACGCAGCTGTCGGAGGAGGAAGGTTTGTCAGGGTTGGGGATCATGTCCATGATAGCGTGGAACTCGGTGGTACTTCTGATCTATGTGATGCAGTACCTGTTTGGTAGTTCTGCATGTACAGAAAATGATGTTTGAATCATGACACTAATCATTCGATCGAGCAAACAGAGAGAGAGAGAGAGAGAGAAGTGTGGTCCTGCTGCAGCATTCGGATCTGCCAAAAGCGATGTGGAAGTGTGGAAGATAAGATCTTCTAAGAACAACAGCCAGATATAGATATGGAGAGGTGTAACGTGCTCTTTGAAGGAAGGAGAGATATACTGATGTGATCAGAAATGAGATATGTGGAGGGGATATGGAACCTTGAAAGACTTGTCTCACTTGATCCTGCTCGCCTATTCCTCTTTTTCTGCTGGTGGATAATGGTAGAGAGAGAACACGGTAAGTCCTTTAGGATTGGTGGATCTCATATCTGTAGTCTCAGAAGATAGAGAAGTAAAGGTGAAGACGTGAGACTGCGAGTGTGGCTGACCTTCAATTTTCCGGGAGAGCGTGAAAGGTGTTTCTGCGAGGAAGAGAGAGAGAGCGAGAGAGGTTGGCAGTGTGTTGACAGATGACGCTGACAGGGGGGAGGGGGGAATTTGCGACGGGGAAAAGGGCGTTGGGATGTGCATCCCTTGGCAAGATGACCAATGAGCATTACTCCCAACAATTTCACGAGCACTTCCTACGACTAAGGAGATTTGAATTTGGTCCGCAGATGAACCATCCTTTCCTGTGAGCAGACGCAGCAGGTGTCCTCCTTAATTGTAAACTTTAATTAACACATTTTTCCTATTATATAATACTACGAGTGGATAAACGACTCTTATCGGTGTGCTTAAGTTAACCAAAGAAACGGTGGTGGTGTACATTTGGTTCATCCATGTAAGCCAACCAAAGTGGTAGTGGGCAGCTGATCCTCCGGCCCCGCCCATTCCTTTCCTTATTCCTGTTACGTCCATGGCTCATGTCCTTATTTTGGCGTTTGGCTCTGCAGACAACGCACGTACCTACCTTCGTTTATCATGGCGAAGACGAAGACGATCCACCTCAACACAACAAGTGCTTGAATAACTGAATGAGGGCGAGGATGCATGTGGGTGGGTGCCTGTTCCGTCCTTCACTTTGGGACGACGAGCCATGGAGGCGGAGGAGAAGCCTTTAGCTCTCAGGGCGGCTGCCTTCTCTTTTTTGTTTTTTTTCCCTTTTCTTTTCCTTTCGTCTTCTCTAACTCTCTTGTCTTGGTTTAGAAAGAAATACAAATACAGAGGTGAGACGAAGGCAGCTGCTAACACACTAGGAACAGCTTACACAACAACCCACCAGGAAAGTAGAAGTGTGAAGAATGGCAGTGGAATCTTGTGTTGAAAAGAATGAGGTGATATCTACAACCTACCATGCAAGCTGTTACCAAAACGTGAGTGTCGAGCCCTTACAAATCGAGGCCACACAAAGAAAGCTCCACGTTCCTAAGGGTTCTTGACTGGTCGAAAGCTCTGATCGTCCTCAGCGGCTCTTGATTTCCTCATCCAGGGCCTGCATGAGTTCTTGATTTGAGTCGTTTGGCCTGTTGCCGTTGAGCATTGTTTGTAAAGCATGCAGCTCCTCTCGATTGGCCTTCTTGAAGAGACCCCTAAGGGCCAGATGGGAGTCGGCGGAGCATGGAGTTTCTTCGACTCCTTGCTGATCCTTGGTGGAACTCACATGAGCATCTGCCGCTGGAGGCTTCGGTCGCGATCTCCAGTACTCCGTGCAGACAAAATTTCGATCTAGCGCCTCGATCACCTGGATTTAAAAGGAAACATTTAGGCGAGAGTTTCAGACTGAGACTACACACTCTCAAGAAAGATGGAAACAGTCAAAAGTGGTGGAGCTCAACATGGATGAATCAAATAGTAAGCACTAATTATTAGACAAAGGTAGCATCACATTGTGTCCCAAGATTGATGGATAAAACATGGTTGATAAAAACCTGATAAGTCATTTTCATTCAACCAAGAACCCGAAAATGATTGATGTCCATATAGCTAATTGCCAGCTTTAATGTGCTAATAGCATATAATTGAAGCCATACCTTCTGACTGGGGGCGTGTGCACATGATTCTTGAAAGCAAATAAAAGGTCAGGAACATAATCAGAATCACGTAAAGGTTTTGTTGGTCCTAGTTTTGACCAAATGAGACGTAGGGGTGCAAGAGGGTCAAATGATATTCATCCAAACATGTTTCCGTATGTAATTGGAGCCGAGCCAGATATGACAGATGTGTCTATCACATATCTGTATGTATCCATATTAAATTATTTGAAATGATCCCAATACAAACATCGATGGATCAAGTACTATCAGTACTAAGTATTTGAATGACATCTAATATATGTCAAGTCAAAGTGTGAAATTTACCAATGTCAAGTTAAGGATTTTACTTTCTTTTTTCTTTTCTTTTTTTACTATTTTGTTGTTTTTTATATGTACATTACAATTAATTTCCTCAGTTTGCTAACTATAATAACAATATAAAAGACATCTAAAATATACCAAATCTTGCATGAGATTTTTGGAGAAATTAGGTGAGACAAAGTCTACAACCAAATGTGCAAGCTATTTCATAAATGGTCTGGTTAAATGTGTCCATGATCCAAAGCCAATAATTTTATTCAGAAATGCGTCCTTAACCAAGTTGTACATTCATCCCACTGTCAAACTGGAAAAAATGTGACTAGAAAGGGAAAAAATTCTTGAAATTGAACTTCTATTTGGTTAGATCATTACCAAAAATGTGATAGATATTCAGATCTAATCTGATAGGAATAAGAATGCACTATGAGAAAAACATTGTACCAAAGTATACTGACCTGAATGATCATCGGTGATGATAAACCAAACATTTCGAAACCATCAAGGGATCCTGGAGGCTGTAACGGGGGAAGGCTTGGCCTTCCCATACTATGATGTTTCCTAATTTGATCATTCACCTTCTCTCTCACCATGTTCCAACACTCTGTGGCAGAAACATGGATGAATACTTCGCTTGGACATTGCTCAACAACAACCTGAAGTCCCAGGAAGACAAAAGTGGATGTAATTACACAATGGAGTAACTAGTTCTGAACTATGATTCATGCAGTGCCTACATAAAATTTTAAACAGGGCAACATGGATAGGCCATCATGGAATGTTGACACTTCTCTAATAAAACTTCTCTTTGAGAATAACAGATTTATAATGTTTTTAAGATCAGAGAAGCCTTATGATTAAAAGGCAGGTTGGATGATTAATTGATGTGATTTCAGGAGAAGAATAAAGGTGCAGAAATGTTAAAGTAGGAATTAGTGCATTAAAAATAAGTCATTTACGAAGAAAACATGAATCAATATAAAATATTCCAAGAGATATGATGTGAAGTTGTGAACAGAAGCAAGAAAATTCAGCCAACAAGTATGATCAGACTTATGACCATGCAGAAATATTCTTTTCCTGAGATTACTCAATCAGTTCAATTGTGGCAAACTATCTCTTAATACCAAAATAATAATCAGAAATATTGATATTGCTTCTTCTTCTATACGTGAGGTAAACTGACATTCATAGTAAAAGGTATTCTTGGCCCTGCAAGTGTAGCAGTTTGTCTAATTTACAGGCTCACCATAGCTGTAAGAGAAATATGCATTCGCAGCAGTATAACAGAACATGATAGAAGTCCATGTAACTTTGTTAATGCACAAAAACATCAACTACAATGCAAAGTAAGAGCAACAAACGCTTAATCACCATAAAAAGAGGCCCGAGCAGTCCAGCATCCAAAATTTCGGATATGTAGTAGCACATTTGCGTTGGATCTAGGACACTCAAGTATCGAACCCGACTTCTAAATCCTGTATTGAAAATGAAGAGTTATTCAACTGCTGAAGCAAGAAAATAGAAAACACTAAAGCCGATAAAAAGAGAAGTTATCAAAAGCTCAATGTACCCTAAGGTACTAAGATCTCTTGCAGCACACAAATGTGCTGCAAGGCACATCAGATGCACGCCATGTTGATAACAAGGTGGACTCAAGATGACAATAATAATTGAATACACTATTATAGAAAATTCCACACTACAAAACGATACTTATCTACTATTCAATGATATGTAATTAGTTGTGATTTTAATTTTGGCAATTAGCTCATATTCAAATGGTACAATGAATATAAAAGCATAAAAACAAACATAAACATAAACATTAGGTTCATATATTGGAAGAAAAAAGAAAACTACTACAACAATGCAATAGAAAAATACAAAAAGCAGTAGTGAGCAGCAACATAAGTAAAGAAAACAAAATCAACATGAGAGAAATATAAACACAACAAAACAGCAAAAACAAAATGAAGCAGAAGAGGGGTGGGTAAGCCAATCAAATACAGTGGCAGTACAATAGCAAATAGAAGATCGAAAAAGTAAAAGAAGGAAGAGAAGACAAGAAAAAGGGTGACAAGCAACAACAGCATAAAAAATATTGGTTTCTTGTCTTTGGAAAAGTGAAGCAGAAAGGTAAATGTTCATTTGTTAGTATCTTATAATCCCAACAATCAAAATCCTAATAGATTAAACAATATAACAAACCATTTCATACGCTTATCTTCATGAAGCAAATCCAGTGGCATCACAAAGCACAACTATTGGGAGCCATGCTTTTTCCAGTAAGGCACATAAGCCTGTGCTTTAGGTGCACCTTAATGGAGTCAATGAACTTCAGTTGCGGAGAGCAACAAGATAACGGCCTTGGCCTCCGTGAGCCTTAGGCAAGCATTTAATGACACTGATAAAGATGGATTTCCTTGAGATCATAACCTTTCAGAATTGACTAATTAGGATCTGCCCTACCTATCAAAGTGCAGCAGCACCCTTGTAACTTTGCAATAACGAAAAGGCCTATCGGTATCAAAAAGTCTTCATGTATTTAAGATACCAACTGCATCCTTTGATAAACTTCTTCACATCTCAGTAGGTTTTCCTAAAACTTGTTGAGGCATTTAAGCTAAATCACTGTATCAAGAAGGCCCTAATACAAAGTTCTCATTTTCGATCTAAGCCTCTCAAAAGATATCAGGTTACTGAAGCCTTTAGAGGTTTAGATACCACTTAACCCATGCAAACTAGGGTTAGATGCCAGCTACGGGTCTTGATATGAATACTCTGGGTTTACAATGTAATGTTGAATTCGGATGTTTCTTTAGCGGCAAATCTGCAGTGGTCAGTTTTGTGGGATTGTATATGACAACCAAAAACAAAATTGCACATTACGTTTAACTGCAACAAAATAGTCAAAACACATACGAGGAAGTATAATTAGAACATTGGCCATTATTGATCCAGTGAAATGGTACAATTTCTGAGATACCTCAATTATTGATGCATCATTCAGTAACTAGCAAAGTTACCTTTTGGGAATATGGCTTGGCTAGTGGACCATAATTTTCCAGAAAGCACAACACCATATTCTAAAGCCTCAACATTGCAATTAAC